TATGTTCTCTGTCATTATTCATTGAAAGCAATCATCTTGTCCTTACTGCCACAAAATAGCCTTCTATTTTGCATTCTCTTATCCATTCTTAAAAAAAATTATTTGGTAGATTTAATTCTATTTCAATACACAGGATTTGGGTTAAACAAAGCACAAAGGTAAAGGAATGGAAGATAAACACAAACATAAGCTGTTTTGCTAATATTTTTATATTCATAACAAACATATAGAGCAGGCTGAAGATTTCAGTCTCTGCTAAATGCAGATTAGGCTACAGGCTTTATTTTTTTGAATGGGTTCTTAAGTATGTGGAATAATTCATGGAAAATCCAACCAGATTTAAATAGGGCATTGAAGACTTGACCTGGGGAAATGCACACGTGCTTGTGCACGCATGCGCATGCAAACACACACACACACACACACACACACACACAGAGATTCATCTGTCCTACAAGTAAGTTTCCTTATCCTCAAAGCAGTGGTAGGTAAGTGGTAGGCAGCTTAGTCTGTTTAATCAGATTCTTCCTTGAATAGATCCACAGAGCCTCTCTCTGTGGGACTCTTCTCCTCCTTAGTGTTTATGGATATTCCAACTTCTGCAGCCATCCCCTTCTTCTCTATAGCTACCCAGTACACCACTTCATGTCCTTACCATAATTTTAGCCTGTATTCTACTTCTGAACCCAATTAATAGTTGAAAATTTTTTATGTTATTCTGACTTCTTAAATTCACCACATTTAAAACATAATTAATTACACCGGGTTATGCTCTCACTCAACTAACTGGCTGCTTGCCTCTGTGTCTGTGTTTAGCCTTATTCTTATCGACAGATATCCTGTGCCCTAAAATCCTATGTCTCAAGTAACATTCCCTTCTTTGAAAGCTCGCCTCTAAAACCCTAAGGTTCTCCTAGCAGGTCTCTGAGCCCCGTACTTGGTTGGGATCCATAAAGAATCATTTGACTAGTATTTGGCCACCAGCTTTTACTCTCTGCCTTCACCTCCACCTCCCGTCCCTAGACCGGTGTCTTTGTTATTACCATCCACAGTTCACCAAGGACTTAGGGCATTTTGAGTCAAACGTCACCAAGAGGGCTTAACAGTAGAAGAGAGAGGCCGAAGAGAGAAAGAAGAGGTTTCAACAACAAGTGCTTGAGGCCTCAGAAAAACAAAACATGAAAGTAGTTTGTGCTGCAAACAAGTGAGCAAGAAGAGGGGGTTTCTTCTCTTGTTATTTAATCCCTGGCCAGGAGCACTTTTCATTAGGTGTGTGTTTGCCATGGAACGCGGGCAGTTGCTGAGTTTCTGGCCATCTTAGAGGAGAAGATTAATTTCATCCATGACTCCTTAGTTCTGTGGTCAGTGGGTAGTTCCATAGTATATACTACATAGTACCCGGTTATCAGATTTTACATCTGAAATTTTTCCAGTTTATTCAGCTAATATCTATTACACATCAAATTATAATACTCTATTTTTTGTTATAACAGATTAACAAATGGAATAAAAGTGAGAAGGAGTTCTAGAATATGCCTTCTTTGCCTCACATTATTTTTCCACAGCCACTTCACAATGCCCAATGTAACATTACTCTGATACAGTATGTAATAGATGATTTCACGGACTCTCCTGCATTTGAATTGTTGACATTTTCCATGTCTTAATCTTTAGGGAAAATCTGTCTCTTGTTAGCACGGTAACTGAATGGTTAAAAAACAAGAAACAACACAACTTTTAACTTAAAGCATATTTTCCCCCATTGGACTTTCGTTGCTGATTAAAGCATTTAGCAACATAATTAAAAGTAATTTAAATAGCTAATTAGATAATGTTATAGTTTCCAGTAATACATTCCTTTAAACAAAGCATCCATCATTTAGGAGTGCAGTTTATCACTAGGTTACTGATACAAATGCAATTATATGTTAAATGGAAGAAAGCATCCACAAATCAACTCTGGCTCTCTGTAAAAATTGCCATATATATATATCACTTTTGCATAATTCTTACAGGGTCAAAAGAGATACATGGAAAATCTTGGCCTCCACATTTTAGTTGACTTTGCAACTGTCTAGTGTCTGGTTCTAAATCATATTTTTGACAGTTGAGAACCAGAATAAAGCTATGTCTACATACACATGTTTTGACAAAAATTGATGAATTTAATTAACCAAATTGTCCACTTAGTCAAACAGATGCTTTGACTGTATGATTTGCTTATTTGTTTTGTTTCCTTGTTAAATTAGCTTGTTTTTTTTTTTTTTTTTAACTTAATTTAACTTAATTGTTTAAGTTAAAATATAGCCAGATCAATTCAATGTTTGGAAGCAGTTTCAATGGTATTTTTTAAATAGTTATACTGAAGTTAAGAAACAAATTGCCTTTTAGCAAATGCTAAAAAATTTACTGGAAATTCTGATTTCAAAACGTTTTATTAAAAACAAAAAATAAAAACCCCAAAGAAACAAAAACAACCTCTATGATCCCATTCAAATTGACCAAATCAGGAAACTGGATTGCCAAATTGGAATATTTTTATCATTCAATGATTCCATTACTTAAAATACTAAGTACAGTAATGAAAATATCTTTATCCTTAAAAATAGAATCTCATTATTAAAAAGGACTTCATGTTTTAACAGCCATCTAATTTCAGAGTGATAGATAAACAAGGATATTTTATTTTAGAAACAATAGAAATGCATTGTCTCTCTATTGTGGGAATACCCTGTCAAAATTTTGGCTCAAGACCAAATGTTAAAAATAATGTTACAACCAACCTCTAATTATGTTAACTCTCCCATGAATGCTGTGGATGTGCTAGATTCTTGTGTGTGTGTGTGTGTGTGTGTGTGTGCGCGCGCGCGCGAGAGAGAGAGAGAGAGAGAGAGAGAGAGCGAGAGAGAGAGAGAGAGAGAGAGAGAGAGAACACAAAGGAGATGTTGAATGACAACCAGAATGGAATTACCTGTGTGTGCTTCTTGAGAACTTTAAGTGACCTGCTCACAAGTTATACATGGGGTGTATGGTACAGTTATAGCTTTTCCAAAACTTTATAGAAATGAGGTAAAAACTAATGTCATTCTCAATTTTGAAATAATAGTTATGGTTTCACAAACCAAATATTTCCTCTAAGTTTCAAGTGAAAATATTTATAGAATAAAATTTCTCTCTTACCCACCTCTACTCTATTTTCACTTCCTTGTTCCTCTCCTCCCTTCCTTTCCTTTCACATTTCATGTTAGTAAGAGAGCCACAATAAAAGTTGCATATTTTAAATACATATTTTTATATATGTACACATTAGTGAATTAATAAAATATTAATGCATATTTATACTTCCAATTTATTTCCATAATTAAATCTCTTATGTAGAAATCAACTTATTAGATAGTTGGTAAACACTTAATTGAGAATTTCAATTCTATGCTTTTAAAAGAAAACCTGAGTTATTACAATTAAACATTTGACTTTCTTCCAATAATATACTGATTATGTTCACAATCTGGGAGTGGGAAACTTAAACTTGACATGAAAAGATGGGTAACTCCCTGTATAAAGATGAAATATATATGTTCAGCAAACATCTAAAATCAAACAACAAACTAAAAGAACATATTTGCCACCAAGATAAAGGATATTTTAAAAATTTTCTTGCTATAAAAAGAACTTTTACAATAGCAAACCATGTATAAATATAAGCAAACAATTCATAAATAAAAGGAATATGAAGGATTGATAAACATGAAAATATGTTTCATTGTACAAATAGAATACTGAAAAAATTTAAAAAGGACACTGTATCATTCTTTGTCTACCACATCGGCCAAATTTAAGGGAATTGGTAATATGTAATTTTGAAATGAAAAGTGATCCTGGTAGAGCTGTGCATATTTATTAAGTTTTTTGGATATCTAGTTGTTGACATTTGCCAAACTTGAAATGTATTTCCCTCTTGATCCACCAATTTCATTTATGGTATAAAAATATACTATAAAATATATTGGGATAACTATATTTTTTTCTAAAATACTATAGCTAAGGTATACAGATATGTTTATGCTTTTTTGCAGTATTATGACTAAAACATTCGAACATTCCCAAATGCCCATCAACATAAGATCAATTGTATAATGTTTATAAGTATATATAATGCAGCCATTAAAACTGAGGGCTACAATACACAGATGAAAAGAGATATCCATTAAATTAATAAATAGATAAAGGTATCAGACAACATATATAGTGTGTTATACCTGAATAAAATGTAAAAAGGAGTAGGAGGAACCTTACAATGTCTATTTGTTTTTTCTGTAGAAAATTCTAGTAGGAGAGTCATCACAGTTCTAACTGGTTATCTCTTGACAGTGGCGGTGGGGGCTGGGGAAAGTGTGTGGAGGGAGCTGAAGGCAAATTTATTTTTTCTCCATACAAATCTCTATTTTCTTGTAGAACACTTATTATCCCTACAATTAAATCATAAAGTGCACTGATTATGTTAATTATTACTGAAAAATGAAAACTGTTTTAAAGTTGAAATAGAATACTTAAGACGATATGACTCAACAAAAATTCAATTTTGGGGTAATACTTTCTATAAAATAAAACAAAACACATGCATGTTACCCCTGAGATTTACCTGAGAATTTTTCTCTACAAACTGGATAATATTTTTGAGTGGGGGAGAGGGGGGTAATATTTCTTTATAGTCTTTATTTCATATAACAGCCAAAATTTTAGAAAATCCAGAGGGTTTTTTTTCCCCATGTATACGAAAACTGTATTAGATAGTATTTTTAAGAAATATCTGTTATTCTTAGATTTTTAAAAATAAAGTTATTGAAGTGAGAAATATTCTATTTTAGTTAAAATTGTTAATTGCGCCCAGTTTGTGTTTTTGGTGTTAGTTTATCTCAAACACTGGATAGGCAAACACGTGTACTTCTCCTTTGTGCATAATAAAGACGACTTACATTTCTTCTTCCTCCTTCTTGTAGCTTTCAGCCGTGCCCCAATTCCGATGGCTGTGGTCCGCAGAGAGCTCTCCTGTGAGAGCTACCCCATTGAGCTCCGCTGTCCAGGAACAGATGTCATCATGATAGAAAGTGCCAACTATGGGAGGACTGATGACAAAATTTGTGACTCTGACCCTGCTCAGATGGAGAATATACGATGCTATCTGCCAGATGCCTATAAGATTATGTCCCAAAGGTATGATACTTCTAATAATCTTTTTCTTGGGTGCATTTAATGTAAGCTCTCAGCCTGCATCTGTGTGACCTATGGACCTTAAGTAAGAACACAAATAGTATGTGTGTTTTAGAATCATTTGAACTACTTTTTCCATATCAAATTAGTTCCCCATATTACTAAAATGCTAGTATTAGAAATTGCAAATGGCATTTGGACGTTATTAAAATTTATTAGATTAGTTATTAAGTTGCGTGGTCTACTCTGAGTGCTTTGGAACTGGGATGATTAGATGAGAAACTAAATTTTTCACAGTTTTCAAAAACAGACTTTTATGTAATTTTCTCTAGAAGCTACAGAAAAATTATTTTAATGCTAATAAATATTTCCTTTCAGTGTAGGAAAAAGAATAAAAATTAATAAGCAATTTTTATAGCCATTAATCAAAATGTAGTAAAAGGCTATTGATTCATGATTTTTTTGGCCTTGAAAACAATGAAAAATTATTTCTTTATTATTTAGTTTACGTAATTCATTTAAACGAATCAAAATATTACCATATTCAAATAAGGTAAGTTAAGGTATCATACGATATCACTGGAAAAGGAAAAGAAGGTCTTCAATTCTGCAGAGACTGGTCAATAGGAATCCACACTGTAAAAGGTTTAAATTATACTAAAATTATTTGATAAATTGGCTAAATATTACATATCTTACAAATAGTTGTTCACTATTACTATGATTTCTCAGAAATTAGTGAAGTCATTAATTTACTATAAGCATTCATACCTTCTGACTATATGCTCACAAAGTAATTTTTAAATAATCAAATGACCTATCTAGTGAATTTTTTTCATAATTTTTCTATTTAGACCCTTCTTCCATTATTTCAAGTGTTCTTAAAATATAGGGGAAATCATAACATATGTAAAAATAAACAAATTTAAGTACATAAAAACAAAATCAATAACTTTAACCTTTTGTCTTCTCGATGCTTAAAATTCTGATATCTATGTGTGTGATTAATAAATTGGTAGAATCGCTATCTTATTTTCTATAAATTACTGTTATATAGGTTATTAATTGAAATTACAATATGCCAGGTTTTTGACCAAAGCATCTGTATTACACTTGAAGGATAATGGTCTCTCTGAGCAAATCTGAGGGCTTTTGTTTGTTTCTAAAACCTAAGTCATGATAAGGTGAGTATTAATGAGAAATAAAAATTTTAAATTAGGGATTCCTCTTGATATAAGTTCATTTGGTTTCATTTGGTTCTTCATGTGTTTCTCTCTCATTGTGGATCTCTTCTTGTTACACATTTGACTTGCCTCCACTATAATTAAATTTTCTGATGATCTGCTTAAAAAAGTTGAATTATCATCGTGCGCAAGGTGGTAAGAGGTCTGTCCTGCCTGGTTTTCCATGAGTAGAATGAATGGGCACTGTGACTAAATTGTTACTTTATTTGTTTCTGTCAGAACAACATACAAAAGTGGATTCTTTGAATCCATTTGAAGTGTGGGTTGAGGAGGAGATTCTGCTTTTCAGTGGTTATTAGCTTTTGATTTCAATGTAGCAGAAGCATTAACTTCACTAGCTCTTTGATCTCTTTATGATTTTCATTGAAAATGTTTTAATCCTTTTATTGATATTATTAATGGCTCCCAAAATAAGCCCTTAATCTTATAATTATTGCAAAAAAATAGTTACAATGGATCCTCTCAA